TTGTGCTTTGCACGCCCTGTAACCCTTCCCTGTAACAACATCCTCATACTGACTCTGTGGTTATGTACTCATTAAAACTTAGAAAGACCCGATTTTTACTAAAATACCACAATCTAGAAAAGAATTGAAAATCAAATGAAAATCAAATGCAAATCAAAAACAAGTTAGGAGAATAATAGGTTCTACATCCAGAAATTAAAAAGGCAACCTCCTTTATATTGCTTGGTCAAATCCTAGTTTCACACTGTAGAAGTAGAACTAGAGCAGGAAAAGCTCCCTTCTGCAACTGCAGGTAAAATCTGAGACTGCAGAAGGGCACTAGATCAGCAGACTAGCTAGCTACTGATTCCCAAAATACTAGGCAGCTCTGGGGAATTGCTAGGTGCACACAGTCCACCTAAATTCTCATAGTTAAGCATTATCATTATTAAAATTAAGTAAAAATTGCACATATCACTTGCTACAGAAGCCTTACCCAGAATTCTAGGAGACCAAAGAAAGAAATTCAAGTGTGTGAGGGGGTGGGGGAGCAAAGCTCAGGGAAAGAGAACTCACTTAGCATATGTAAGGTCCTGGATTTGACTCCCAGCTCCGCAAAAAGAACAGCAGATACAGAGATACTAAAGTTTTTTCTTTGAGAAAATAAAATATCACATATGTTGAAGAGGTCAACCATCTGTTTTTACAGGATTTTAACAGAATGGACAACTACGACCCTTCCTAAAGGTTTCATGGACAGGCAACTCCACTAATGTGATGCCAATTTGAGATAACCAATCTCAGCACTGGGAGGTTGAGGCAGGACGGTCATAAATTTGAGCTCAGTCCGAGCATCTTAGTGATTTAGCAAGATCCTGTCTCAAAAATAGAGGGGAAAAAAGTCATAGCAATTACCAAACCACCAATTCAAAAGCAGGTATATAATTTTACTAAACACTGTGACAGCTTTAGTGAAGTCACAGTTGTTTGTTGTAGGTGTCCAGGGACAGACAAGAGAGCACAGGGATACAGCCTAACTTCTACACGGTCAGGAAACCCTGGACTTGACATGCATGTGAGATAATCACCCACTACAGGATTTTATTATCCCCATTCTGAAGACAGTGAAGACAATCTAACCTGTAATGAATATTCTGCATGTGCTGAAAAGTAATAGACACAAGAAATTAGTGGGCCACAGCAGAGTCAAAGAAAGGCGATCAGACTACAGTTGTTCTAAACTTCACAAGTCATTTCTTCTTAAAACCAGAACCCCAAAATTGTAGCATACTGGTTTGAAAACTAAGGGCCGCACAGTCACTCATCAAAGTCACTGTGGACACTGCTGGGCATCCTGATGGGTATTAAAAGTGTTCATTTAATCAACCCAAAACATTAGGACTTTTAAATTTTTGATTTTTCTGGAAAGTTGTGAAGTTTTTGAAACTGCTTTCTAGTCTATCATAGATGAGGAAACACATAAAAGAACTGAAGTCTGTGGTTTTACAGAAACAACTTTGTAATACTAAAAGGAGGCTCTACTTAATGGGCTTTCCTATACAGAGCCTTAACTGTCCTGTACAGAGCCAGACAAAAAAATGTTTGGATGGTAAAGTGTCTGTCACAACTATCACCCTGCCCCCAGGGGCTGAAGACAGTCACAGAAAATACTAGATGGATGGGCATGGCTGTGTTCCAGTAAAACTTTATTTGTACTAAAGGTAAATCATACAGTGGCCTGGATTTTGGTCCTCAGGCTGTGGTTTGCTGAATTCTGCTCTAATCTGTAAGAGACAATCAGGTTAATAAATCAGAACCACTTATCACACACACACATAAATATATGAAAAATGATTTAAAACTGATCATTACTGGGAGATGCTAACCATTTCCAAGTCTGGCCATCCACGAGATGCACCAAGGAAGCATACTTTACTGACAGACTTTCAAGTCCCATGTCCAAAGATTGTTGTTCATGAGATCAAACAATATTCTTACACTCCTGAGACCCTTGATTAAAAACAAAACAAAACAAAACAAAAACCAGCAGCAGCAACACAAACTACTGGGACTATGAGGAGAAGATAGGAAATGGAATTCGACGGATGAACCCTTACTAGGGTGGAAGTGAGGTCCCAGAGGCCAGTGCTCCAGGTCCGTTGTCACACATCCAACTTCCACTAGAGTGGGAGCAGAGGGGTGTGTTAACCCCAGACTTGCCACTAAGTACTGTGACCTTGAATAAGCCGTAACTTCTTCAGGTCAAGGTTTTGTGAGAGATGGCAGTGCCAAAATGGAGTTATTTCTGTCAGACTCCAGCTAAATGAAGTAGGGAGGTCACAAAGGAAGCGCTCTTGTGCACACACGCTTCTGGTTGTAACGATTACAAGAACTTTCTGAAAATCACATTACACAAAGCGTACCACACCCTCACACAGAGAACGCTTCTGCTAGGGCACCTGTTCAGCAACTGCCTATTCAATTCTTGGCTTCAGGCACTCTTGTTACTTAACCTTTAAATCTGTTTGTTTAACCTTTAAAAGCCCCTGCTTCCCCCAACGGCAGCACCCATATTCCAGATTGACAGCGGCTCATGATTTAAAAAAATCATTTTTAAATCACAGAGAACCATTCTCTGTTATTTAGATGGACAATTTCCTCATCTCTAACACTTTTTCTAGAGACAAACCTGGGATATTATAAAACACAGATCCATAGCAGCTCGTTCTAAGAAACTGTAATATGTTTTCTGCTCTTATGGAATTAAAATGAACAATGTTTAAAAGTGAGAGAGAATTATAGATTACAGAATTTAGCTGTCCTTTGGCAGCGTTTGTACAGAATGGCAAACAAAACGAATGAATTTCTAAAGGGCATTCAGTTTTGATAAAAAAGTATTCCACCCTTTAGATTTTCTACAAAAAAACTTTCAATAATCATCTAGGGTATGTTATCGACTCTAATTTACTTGATACACTTAAGTAGTTTTGGGGCCACTTACCAGAGTGCCTCTTTGATATGCTGGCAGTTTAAAGACTCCAGTTCAGAATAATGGACAGGGGATCAAAAGAAGGCTGGCCAAAGGCTGAACAAGATTATGTGGGTATGCTACAAACAATTCAAAAGAAGGAAAGGTTTATGGTGACTTAGGTTCCAGAGGTTTTAGTACATGGCTGATCAGCCCATCACTTCAGGCATGTGGTAACACAATCCATCATGATGAGACTCATGGTGGAGGAGGCTTACTAACCTCATGACAGCTGGGAAGCAGAGAAAAGAAGAGAAGGGACCAGGGTCTTGATAGTCACTTTAAGGGCACAGCCCCAGACCTAGCTTCCTTCTATTAAGCCCCACCTCTCCAGTACCTCCAAACAGCCATCTCAGGCTTGGGACCAGACGTTCAACACATGGGCCTTTGGAGATAGTCAGGGTCCAAACCAGACCAATAGAGACTCCTGAAAATGGGAATTCAAAAGGCATAGCTGAGTTTTTGCCATTTCAGGAAAAAAAATTTTAAGTTTTAACACTGCAATCTCAATACCATGTGATTGAGGCTGAATAAAATGTCAGGATGGAGAAAAAGGAAAAGATGGGAGCCAGTTATTTTGAGTTTGACATATGTCCAGTAGTCACTGTGCTCACTGATTCTGTGCCCATTAAAAAGTCCTAGAGAGGCTGCACATGGGGCTAATGACCCTCAGAGCCCGATGTCAGGAGTTCCGAGGAGTTGAGTACTGTATTTAACCTCTTAGGTTTTTTATATCCACATATACGCCCTACACACCAGTATTTCCATATACAGTGTTCCTCATCGATTGCCTTAAACTCTTAACTAGTATCCCCAACAGTTTTGCAATAAGGATTAATGCTTTCCACCAACTTTTGTGCTTGCCTGAATCACAAATAATAATGTCCTGGGATTAGAAAATGTTCAGCTGAGGAAATTAAATAACAATCACAAGGGAAAATGAGTATTCACATTCAAATCATCCACTGAAAACAGCAACAACAAAAAACCCCAAATTAAAAAAAGGAATTAAAGTTCTCTAGTCATAGTAGTCAGCTCTGTGATACTGTGACATTTATGTTTCTAAGAATCCTAGCTCAAAAGATATAAAAGTGTGCAACAGAAACCACAGGTCTTATGCAGAAAACTGGGGACAACACCCCAATTAGGGACACTCCCCCAAACTTGACCAATTACACGTTTAAAAAAATCTCATAGAAATAGCGGTATAGTTTCAATCATGATATAAAAGCTTAGGAAGTTATATAAATACCTTGAAAAAGACCTGTGACAGTGGCCGCTGATGCAGTGCAGATCCTGGTTACTGTACAGTGGAGGGGGAAGTGATCTGATATCAGGCAGAAAGTGGTGACACATCACACCTGCAGTGGCCGGAAGTGCTGGCAGATGTCTGGGGGGCGGGGTGTGCGCCTTGCATATTCCTGTGTGGCTCGGTCACTGGTGGTGCTATACTGCCAGGACACGCTACATCGGTGTTATTTTCTGTGTTGACTCAATGTTCCTTGTGGACCAAACTACTCACATGAAGAATGAAGAATGTACTATGTTTAAGTTATTCTCTACTACATTAATTGCTGAAAACATGTTTTTCAGAAAAAGTGCTATAGTAGCTCTACATTGGTTCATCTAACACCCATGACAGTGGAATCCCAAAAGTGGCCTCCTCATCATCCAATCAAGTTTCCCAAACTGCTGACACATGGAACCAAGGTGGAGCAAAACTGAAAATAACCACATGACTTTACAGGGTATTGGTATTCACTAGAGAGATTTATTTCTCTGTCCATCTTGCCTTAAGTCAGCTTTGTCATGGAAGTTATTATTTATGGATAAAATAGCTCACACACTGAAGCCAAGCCTCTAGAAACAGAAAAGATTCAATTTCACTTTTACCTCTTTTTGGATAAGGTGCAAACGCTCTCAGCAGTGAGTATTTACAATCTGTCTGTCGCAGAGAGATACACAACTGACACAGAGGAACCGCAGCTCCACCTTGAGAGTCATCAAAGTGCTTTATTTTGTAAAGCCTGGCTCAAGACTGGAGTGTACTGTTAGCACTAGGAGATAAAGGCAAACTTCCTCACTCTGTCCAAACAGCTTACAACAAAAATGAATGACAGAGACGGTTACAGACAAAAACAGCATTTGTAAACTTCTAAAAGCATACAGGGATTGGCCACAAAGGAAACAGTTACTCAAATCATTGAATGTATACCTTGTCTTTACTTCATGGTGTTGTATTTATAAGTCTGGGGTCAAAGGAACCACAGAACTTCAGATACCAAAATGGACTGGATGCCAGAATTAATGGTGGCGGTGGCCGCGGTGGCAAGGGAACCAGATCATAGCATCGATCGATTTAAATACGCGAAGTCCAGATCTGTGCAGCTATATTACAGTGAGGTTAGGATCACTGGACAGCCGCTCTCCGCAGTCAGTGAGTAGCAGTTGGTAGCACTGCTGCAGGCTCCCAAAGTCGCTGTAAGGCAGGCCACACTGATGGGCACAGCGATCCCGGGAACCTGATGTACAGTGACTGGAAAGGCAGAGTCGCAGGGGCTGGGTGGAGCTGTGATAACTGAAGTGTGGGTTTCTTCTTCTTCTGAAACTGCCTACAAAACCATCTCATGTTCTAAACAAAGAGTTTTAAAGGCACAGCTTTAGCACAGCGTAAAGTTGATAATCTACTCTAAGCAAGTCTGGCATTTATAACTTGTCATCTTTCAGAAATTGCAGGAAAGCTGGTAGTTACACAATGATGTTGGAGATTTTTAACTTGATTAAACACAATCAGCACAGTTTAGGGCAATGAACTTACATAACTGGATTTGGGTTCAATCATTTCCTTTTTTTTTTTTTTTTTAAATCAGGTTGATAAATGTACATCTGGAAGAAATAAAATAATCTTTACCCTTTTATTGTAAAAGACTGTCTATCATGTACTTTGAACAAAACACTCAAAAACATGACTGCAGGACACATTTCAGAACAGGACAAACATTATTTTCATCTACACTGTAAAATGACTTTACATGTAAACTTCAAAAATCACATGCTGTATATTAAATTTTTAGATTCAAAAAATCCCTGTTTTCCTAATAATGTAAACAGTAAAACTGAACGGTTCAGTTAAAGGGATAATTCATAACAAAATACCACTGTTCAAAACAGTGGCCAAACATAAACCTCTTAGAATTCAGATTTGCATTCGGTCACAGGAGAATCGAGAGCAGGAGATGTAGCTACCATTGCCCCAAACTATGCACCTTTCAGGGAAGCTTTACTTTGTTTTGCAGCATGAATTCCTATATGCAACAAAAGCGTGTGACGGTGAAGGATCTCCAGGCAAGAAGAGAGAAGCAAGCAGGTTTTCTGGACTGTTCATGGAGGTGAAAATGTACACAGAGTCCCGTGGCATCGGCTTCTTGGAGGAGGGAGGGGTTATTCGAGGACACTGGGGATCCTGACAGTGTGGGGAGGAACCCCAGGCCAGTACATGTGGAAACGCCAGCATTCTTCCATCCGGTGCTGGGGGCTGGTGACAATCGTTAAGGAGTGTCTGCGTGCGGGGTGGGAACAGAACATTCGCAATGATTTCTTTTAACCATCATTATTATCATTGCTATTATTACCTTCATTATTATTATGAATACTGTCTCACCTCTTTCAACTAAAAAAAAAAAAAAAAACCGATCCACAGTTTATCAGGTGACACTGACATGGTCATTGCTCTGAGGGCATTTCCTTCTGCTCTTCCCATGTGCCCATTCACTGGGCCACAGCTGGAATCCTCAGTTCCTTCTGATTCAAGCTGATCAAAATTTTAATTAATTATTTAAAAATGTGCACATGAGCAGGTGTGTGCGCACACACGCACTTACGCGGAGTCAGAAATAGCTAGAACGATGCTGGGAAATATCAGGTAGCTGTTAAAGCGAGTAGCCCCAAATCAGTCATCTTGGCCTGAAGATGTAAACAGGGAGGCTTGTTTCCTGCAAGATGAGTGCTTCGTTGAGTTTGGTTTTCAGTTTTCCTATGCCAGAGCCACCTCTGTTCTTCTCACGATCACGCCCTCCAGGCTATGCAGGAGGTTACGTCAAGATGTGGCCAATAAAGTCCAAAAAGCGCTTTGAATACTGTTCTGGGTTCACGGTTGAGATCTCCGCTCCAGCCTGAGCAGTTTTAAAGGAAGAGTAATATTGATATAATGTTTACAACTTCCCTAATTGCTATTCAATATCTATAGCTATTTCCAACTGTAAATGAACATAGAGCTAATAAAACATATTTTTCAGTGGTGCTGGGGATGGAACCTGCGGCCATGTGCATGCTAGGCAGGTGCTCTACTGCTGAGCTACATCTCCAGCCCTAAAGCTAACGACATTCTCATGCATACTCCGGACATGTAGCTCCTAACATTTTGGTTATTTGACCAGATAATCAAGATTCTTATGATCTGTCTGAAATGAGGCACAGGTTGGTGGCAGCCCCAGAGGCTACTGTCACAAACCTGTGACAGTTGTAATTAAAGAATCCAATTAACCATGCTTGAGCCATTCTTATCAAACAGTGGACTCTCTGGCTTACTTCTGAGGCATGGGAAAAATACCTTTATTTTTTTAAGAAGCAGCCTGGGATGCTTTGAGAATGACTGAAACATAAACATCCGACAAAAGGGAAATCTTATTGGCAACATCTAGAATTGGGTTAATTTTCCTCTTAAGTTTGTGACAAAGGGAAATGATTTGGTGCTCCAGGACAAGGGACTGTAACAGTACAGGGACCGATCAGGGAGAGCTACCTGGGTTCCTTCCAGCACCATAAACAGGTGAAACTCACACCAGTGGCTACATTTCCCCATGGGCTACGAGCTGGGGCTGGTTCTGTGGCGCTGCAGGGCCCAGGGTGCTACTGTTCCCCATTCCTGGAGCCTGGCACACATGGGAAAGCCAGGCCCCAGAGAGGTCCCTCAGGCTGTTTGTTATTATGTGCCCCATGCTGGTCAGCAATGCCAGTAGTTACTGGCCAGCTTCCTGGGTTGCAAAGGACAAGACCAGGATTGAAGTCACCAGGCAGTAGTTATATAAAAGTTTGTGGGTGAACTTGCAACTCTGAGGCCTGAGCTGCTGGTGTTTCCCCACAGAGAAGCCCCCAAAAGTAGACGATGGTTCTTTTTTTTTTTTTTTTTGTCTTTTTCATTTTTATTGGTACCAGGGATCGAACTCACGACTGCCTGCTTGCAAGGCAGGCGCTTATGCCGCTGAGCTGAATCCCCAGCCCCAAGACAATGGTTCTTGACAGCAACTGAGCACAACACTCCTTTGCTAAAAGCAAGATTCTGTTCTTGCAAACTGCTCATGATGTTATGGAGCTGAAAAGGCAACTTACTTGGAAGACTAACAGAGCCATGCTAGCCACAGTTCATTCTGACTTCTTGATGTGTTTAATATAGGAGCCAATACTTTAAAAATACCCACCTTGAGTCTATCTTAGTCATCACACATACCCACCCAGAAAGCCCAAGCAAGCAAGGGCCTGGAAGCCTTTATCAGTGGAGGGAAAAACATCTCCTCAAAGCTACTGCAGCAGGGAAGGTGATAGTTGGGCCCAGTTGTCTCAGCAAACTGTGGTTCCTGGTTAAAGCTGAGCATCAGAAATACCCTGGGGCCTTCTGAAGAGTCCTCCCTCAATTCCTGAGCTGGACTCATAACCTGGAGAGAGGGCAGCATACCTGGCACATGCATAGTTTGAAAACAGGGCTGAGAGCCAGGTACAGTAGCATGTACCTGGCAAGTTGCAGGTACTTGGGAGGCTGAGGCAGGAGAATTACAAGTTCAAGGCCAATTTGGGCAACTTAGTGAGACCCTGTCTGAAGAGAAAAAATAAAAAAGGGCTGGGGATGAAGCTCAGTGGTAGAGCACCCTGGGTTTGATTCCTAGGTCTTTAAAAAAAAAGTGTACAGAGAAGGTGCAGATGTGAGTGCTGCTCACAGCTCTCTCAAGGCCCACTCAAGGCCTTGCTCTGTGCCCTGAACACAGCTCTTGGGGATACAACAGAGATATGTCTTTGGCAAATGGAGTACGGCTTTAGGCTGGCTCTGTCTCTGGGCTGACAAAGAGCCTTTAATGGAATTTGTTTGTTCTGGTGAATCCTGGAGGGCTGCAAACCATCTGCAGGAGGCGCGCCTGCCAGTGAGAGCCCACCTCCTCAGGAGGGCCCAGCTCATCTGCCAGGTGATAGCTCAGGGGTTCCTGTGACACAAACATGAGATGGCACAGCCGACGGGGAAGTCCAGCCAGCACATGCCTGCGAGGGACCCTGCTCCACTGCCTGGCAATGACTCCTATGGCTGTCTTTCTCAGTTTCTCCAAGCGCTACAGGCACACACCAGCATCTCCCTCCCAGGCCTGCTCAGAATAACAATTCTGAGCAAGTATGACACAGACAATAAATTCATTTAAGAGACTTTGATCTAACAGTCACAAGGTTTCTGTAACAGAAAAAAATACTATCCAATGTGATGGGAAATACAACCTTCATATTTGGAGAACTCTGCTTCAGCTCAGAATATTTCAGAAGAGACTAAACTCTCTTGAGTACTCTTATCTTTGGGGTGTTTTTCAAACATGCAAGAGCCTCGGCAGTGTCCCAGTATTGCATGAGGCTGTGGAGGTCCCAGAGTGGATGGCCACACTGCAGTGACCTGCCAGAGCTGCAGTGGTCACAGGGGAGCCGGTCTAGGGTTGGCATATGCTGGCTCTGGGTCCTACGCTGGGAACATGCTCCCCAGGAAAGCCAGCAGCACCCATGGACTGGGCAATAGGAGTGGGGTGGGAGGCAGAAAGGAGGCAGGCAGCCCTACAGACAGTGCGAGGACTGACAGACAGGAGGGATCTAGGGCGGGACTCACCCCGTGTTTAACAGTTTTTGCAGCATGGGCTGCTTTCTTCTTTGCATCATAGTGAGTGAGGATGTCAATGATGGCCATGAAGTACACCTCTTTCCTCGGCGAATCTGTAAGAGAGGACAGCAGCTGGGTGGTAAGTGAGACGGACCATGGCTCCCTACCTGACTCCCTGGCCAGGCCTCTTCTCATGTAAGAATTCCACAAAGGGACATCATAATCCCAGGCACTGAGAGGGCTCTAAGTGTGGGACTGAGTGTGTTTATTTTGCTTTTTAGTATGAATTTTCTGTAATCACAGTGTAATTTCTTTGGTGTAAGGAAAACACTGTTTTTAAAATGCTCTCTAAAACTGGTAGAATGAATTACATTTATTCATTCTTTTTTACTATGAGGTGTATTGCTCATCATTAATCCTCACTGGATATATTATTATATCTGGGTAAAGATTGCATTATCCACATTACCAAATTTCTTTTTTTTTTCGTCTTTTTCCTTTTTATCGGTACCAGGGATCGAACTCATGACTGCCTGCTTGCAAGGCAGGCACTTATGCCGCTGAGCTAAATCCCCAGCCCCTCCACCAAATTTCTATATATTTTAAAAAATATGTTTCGGTGATAAATGTTAAAAAAATTTTTTTTTTACATCTAATTTTCCTCAGAGAAAAAATAATTTTGGCAACATAAAAACTGGGCAAAAGAGCCTGGGTACAGTGGAACACATCTGTAATCCCAACGTTTGGGAGGCTGAAGCAGGAGGACTGCTGTGAGTTTGACGCCATCCTGGGCTACAGTCAGTTCATGGCCAGCCTGAACTGCACAGCAAGTCCTTGTCTCACCTTTTTTACCTCCAAAAAGGGAGCAAAACACAACTCGAATCTAGTTGATACACCACCTGAGATTTTAAAAAATAAACCATGTGTTTTATTATTCAAAAAATAAAGGGTCATTTAAAAAACCCTATCTCTGAAATTGTATTTTTCATGGCTAAGTAGCAAAGCTAGAATATAATCTTCTTTCAAATGCCCAGTCACCTAGATCCTGGGGATGAAGACTCTACTGGTTGAGAGAACACGGTCACTGAAGGAGGAAGTACAGATTAGAGGTCCTCCCTCTACACCCTGGGCCTGGCCTGTGTCCCTCAAAAAGAGGTGGCTGTTAGTGATGATGTGTGACCTGAGGGTCACACACATGTACTGAGCTCAGGAGAGTCTGATCTCTGACATCCTTAAGACAGTTAAGAAAAACTTTTCTGAATATTTCTTGTCTATGGGTGTGGGTTGCATATCCCTTTAACACACTGTTGTCCTCAAATCAATGTCCTTGGACTCTGCAGGATGAGTCTTGCAAGGCAGCTAACATGTACCTGGGGCTGTGGCTACAGAGAGAGCACTGTGCAAAATTAGATGCACTTCGCATGCAAAAAGCTTTGACGGTAGTTACACTTACTCTCATGGCACTTAATTCCATACACATCAATGTTGGGGTCAAACTCGCCCGGAGCCAAGGGTGGTGAACTGTTCAGCGTGTTTCCGGGGCTGTCTGGTGGGGTGCCCACTGGGTGGGTGCCATCGCTCTCTCCCTCCTCCTCCCCGTCATTCTCCTCGCACTCCACCTCCTCTTGCTCAGCTCTCTCCACGTCGTGAATGCCCACCAGAAGGCTGTAGTCCATGAGCTTTAACTGGGCAAGGAACTAGAGGAGGGAGGCAACAGGTCAGTTACAGCTGAACCACCAGGATTTAGTGAACGTCTGGGGAAGAAGCATCACAAGTATGAACTTGGCTTGGCAACTTAGTGACTCAGCAAGAGCCTGTTTCAAAATAAAAAAATATAAAAAGAGTACAGGGAGGTAGCTCAGTGCAAAGATCCTCTGTTCAGTCTTTAGCACTGCTAAACAGACACACACACTCCAGATTTAATGAACGAACTCCGGAAAACATGCATGGCTGCTGGGATTGGGGTGCTGGGTCCCCTGAGGGCAGTTCTCTCCCCTCGGGCTGTTTCCGTTTCTGAAACTCAGCCTTGCACTTCAGGTCGGTTTTGAGCTGGGCTCGTTTTCCCTGAAATGCAAAGCCAGCAGCTGTGGCCCGCACCAACCATTTGGAGGGCAGACTACCCCCAAGAGCAGAGGGCACACCTGGCAAGAAGGAGCTGCTGGGGAGGGAGAAGGTCCTCAACAATGAAGATGAGTTACGGGGAAAATCCAGGGACCTCCCAGCTCGGCCTCTCCGAAAGGTCTAAGCACTCTGAAATCCAGCACAGTGAGAGCGCAATGATTATGCTATCTATCACCGGTCAGTAAAGGTCCAGCGTCCTGGTCAAGCAGCAGATGGACCACGTCAGTACTGCGGTGAGTGACACAGTCCTTCCGTCCCACCCGGCTCCTTGATGAGCCACTGCAGGCCCTTCACCCTGCCCTTTGTGGTCTGGTCCAGCCATGGCTAGAGCATCCTGTGAGGCAGGGCAGAGCTTTGGCCATTCCTGCCTGCCAAGTTCTTTGGCTTGCCATTCCTTTTGTTAAGAAGGGGCTGCACCACACACTTGGCGTGCCTGAAGTGGGCTCTTCTCATTGGTCTCCTGACAGTGGTACGCGGGCCAGCTCCGCAGGGCCCAGTTCCACCAGGATGGCAGGTGCAGGTCCAGGAATGGCATGGCCTGGAGAACCTGGCACAGTGCCCACTCAGGATGCAGGGCCACTCAAGGAGCTTGGGCTCTCTGCACAACCTTCTATATACACAACAAGCACATGAACTTATAGCGCTTAAGTGAAAGAAAATGAAATGAAATCAAAGTGCAGAGGGTGGTTTCCTTTTCCTGAGCCTGCCAGAAAGCATCCAGGTCTTGGAGCTGAGCGAGAAGCCACACTGCCCTAAGATAAGGAGAGCGCACGTGGGGTGCAGGCCTATTCCAGGGCACCTGGCTGGCTGCTTCCCAGGCTTTTGCCTCTTTTTGGGCCCATGCACCTCGCTCTGCCACCAGCCTGCTTTTAGCTCCCATTGTATCACAAATCCCACGGGGCCAGCTGAATGTTTCCTTTCTGCGAGTTCAGAAAAAAGATGTCTACAGATCTTATATTTGGGTACTGAAGTTAGACAGGACAGCTGTGTTTAAAAGCAGATAGAAGCAAACCTCTCCTCCAGAGAGCTGCTGAGTTCATGCTCAACCCCATGTCTTCATCTGCTTTCCTGGGCTCAGAGAGAGGCTTCTCCCAAACTCTTCCTGTGATGATGCAGGAACCCACTTTCCACTTCCGTCCCTCAGCCAGGCTTGCCTCCCTGGCTGGACGCTGCTCAGCTGCCCGCAGTCCTGGCACCCTGGCCTCCAGAGCACAATGTCAGGGATGCATGGGATGGTTGCCCCCACCCCAGCAGGACTGCAACCGAGCGCGTCTTCCATCCTCCACTGACACAGGGCCCGGGCAGGGGAGCTGGAGCTCCATCACCTGCTCTGGTCCTCCAGGCTCCTGAATATGGAGCAGAACTGTATGCCACATGCGGTGGCACAGTGGCTCAGAGATGCCTGCGCCAGAACGCCAAGTCCATTGTGCCTCACATGGCATCTATCACACCACCTCTGGGGGCTGTGCTGAGGCAGCTGTCCCTGACTGTTGCCTTCACACTCTTAGAAGGAAGACAATGTGTTAGAATCAGCGGCTGTCTGATTGCGGTAATGAACTCTCTGAGTCCCTGGCTGGGTTACAGCCAGCTCCAAGCCTGCCGCTGATGAGACCCAGACTCCCTCCCCCTGCAGAGTGCCCTGCAGGGCCCCTGGAAGTTTCCTGGAAGTGTATTTGGAAAACACTGTGTCAGAAGTATCCGGCTGCCTCCTCTGGCTCTCAGGCTGTGTGACTGGTGAAGTGCTCACTGTGGCCCACTTGTGGCCCAGCTGTTGGTCCCAGGGCTCCAGGAGGCCACGCCTGGGCCTGAGCTCAGCCTCTGGGCCAGTGTCTTCTTTGTCTCCTCCACTTTCCCCTACCATTTTCAGCATGGTGCCAGTGTTTCTCCCTCTAGCTAGGATCTCTCTGGCTCCTCTGGCCCATCCTGATGCCACTCTGGTGTCAGGGGTTGGGGCAGTGCTGGAGGTGGCAGCACTGTCCCAAGTGTATGGGTGCTGGGCATGGAGTGAGGGTGCCTGGCTAGGCTGGGCTGGTTCAGCTGGAGCAGAGTGGTGGCAAAGGTCCTTCTCTCCACCTTCACTCCCTCTGGGGCCTGGGATGTCCCTGTGACCAGCTGGGCCATCCGAACTTCCCCCTCCAGCCCTCCAAAAAGGGAAAGTATTTTCAAAATGCAAATCTGCTCGTCATGCCTCTGCTTCAGCCCTTTCAACGTTGTTCCATTTGTCACAGGGCAGAAACGAAGCTCTCACGAGGACAGCCTGGCCGCCCCTACCCCCTCCTAGCCTTCCCACCTGCACCCAGGCTGTCCCTCCTAGAGCTGCAGGCCCTGGCCACCCCGGTGCCTGTCGGGGCAGCCCCAGAACTACACTTTTCTCCACAGGCCTGTGGCTTGGCTGTGTTCCGCTGGGGAAGGTGGGTGACTCCTCCTTCCAACTACACAGCCCCACGAGGAGCTCTGGCTGTTCTCAGTGCATTCCTGAGCCTGAGCCCGTGGGGTTCAGACCAGTGAGTGCATGGGGTGCTCCCAGCCAACATTCCCCAGTTCCTCCCACTCGTTTCTATGAAGCAGCAAAAGCAAAGACTCTGTAGATGCCTCTGCTCGTTGGCTCTGCAGCAGCTCACTGCTCTCTGAATTCACGGACACGCGCAGAGGCTGGGAGCATCCTGTGAGGAACCTGGCTGGCTGGTAACCCTAAGCAGGCAAGTATTTGGGCCCCAGCTGTCTGTCTAGAGCCCTGAGCAACTTTCCTGGGCCTCAGGCCTGTGGTTGGACCCTGCTCAGGGTCTGCCTCCAGAAGGACAGAAGCACAGGGGTGGTTAGTTTCGAGGGTAACCCACAAAACCGAGTGAAAGATGTGTGCCTCTCAGGACAGAAGTTGTTCAGTGGGCCCAGGAAGACCAAGGAAACCTGGGTATCACATCTGTTTTCAGATCTATGAGGCCAAGGCAGAAACAGGAAAGACTGAGCACAACGTAGTGGTTAACAGTAAGGCTTTGCTGAATGGAAGGACCCATTTAGTCTTCTCTGAAGTATCCCTTTCCTTTTTTGTGTGGTGCCGGGAGTGCCGGGGATTGAACCCATGGGCTTGAGCATGTGAGCCAAGTGCTTCACCACTGAGTGTCATCTCCTGCCTCAGACAAGAAACCAAGGGAGGGAGTGCACTGTGGAGGTGCACGATCTTAGCACTTGGGAGGCTGGGGCCGGAGGACTGCTGTGAGTTCAAGGCCAGCACGAACTGCAGAGCAAGGTCCTGTTTCAACGAAGGAAGAAATAAAAAAGAAACAAAGGGAGTGAGAGGAGGTTGAGTCTTACTTTCTCATTAACTCTGTGTCTCAAGAAGTTCACTCGTTTGCACCTCTGCTATTCTAAGGACACAAGGGGACAAACAGTGCTCACTCCCCAGGGCAAGGACAGGACAGGAAACACTGCTGAGGCACAGATGCTGCTGCCTTGCACGCAGCAGTGGGAACGGCTCTTCAGCTGCTGTCAGTTCATTTCTGCTAGTGGCCTTTTCACCAGGGAAACGGGCTCCAGGTGATGGCGAGAGAGGGACCCCCGGGGAGCTTGCCACCATACTGCTTACTGCTCACACACTTTCCTTCGGTCTCTTCTGAGGCTCCGTGGAGTGAAGTGGGGTGGTGTGCTTGGAGTCTCGATAAAGAAGATTCCTAACAGGAAACCACAAAACTGCGTGGACTGGAAGTCTACACTGAGAGAAGAGCCAGGGCCAGGACCCAACTAACACCGGACACTTGGGATACACTTGCCTCCATGCCCTGATCACCCTCTTGAGCACCTAAACACATATATTTATTTTTTAAGTAGGTAAGATTTCAAAGTGTGAAGATTTTCATTTTTAGTTTCCCTGGTTTTCTTCTAATCTTCTAAGGTCTTAATAATTAATAAGCCAATTTTGGATGTGCATCTTTTTCTCTCTTTGATCTGATTCCTTAACTAATTACGTTAAGTCCTATGGTATTTTTGGGGGGGGCTGGAGATGGAACCCTGGGCCTCGCACACGCCAGGCTAGCGCTGTACCACTGAGCTGCACTCCCAGCCTATGCAAATCTCTGAGCCAGTGAGCATCTCCCTCACAGTCTGCAGGAACCCCATGACTGTGCATCGATTTACCCTTCATGGCAGGTTTAAAGGAACCCTGTTTACTAAGTTTATTAGCACACTTGTTTTACGGAATGGCCATTTCCTAACATACCTCAGATATAAATTAAGATCCTAGTCAGCCCTGTTTAACATCTGACCACTTGTTAAAATTTAGGATCTTCCTCCTTTGGAGCACTGATCATAAAAGAGTCTCAGTTGTGCTCTCAAGCATTTTTAACTTACATTTTGTATCTGCATAGGAGTGTGGTCTCTGCCAGCCTCTAACTGTGGTTTGAATTTGGCAGCTGCAAGTCTCTGAGCATATCACAATGTTTCCTAACTCAGTTTCTGCATCCATTAAACTGGGACAGTAGCAGCAGCCACACCTGAGGGGCTGTTCTAGCACCCCGGGAAGCTGAGGCAGGAGGATCTCAAATTTGACTCTGCCTGGGCAATTTAATGTCACCCTGCTTCAAAAATAAAGAGCTTGGCTGTAGCTCAGTATGAAGATCCTGGGTTCAATCTCCAGTCCTGACAAAAAAAGAACGAATTCATGAGAGAATGCGGTTCTACACAGTCCATAAACGCTGGCTGCCAGCCAAGGAGGACCTCCCATCTGACAGCCCTCTCATCAACAAGGCTGTGCCACCATGGACGTGAAGAGGCGAGAGGGACTCTGTGAAGCCTCGCTCCAGGCTCCAGGAGGAGCATGGTTTTGCAGGTGTGACATGAGGCTCTTAGTGTAAGCTGAGAGAGGTGTCAAGGTCACGGATCAGAGTTGACAAGAGGCAGGAATGAAAGCAAAAGTGCCCTGCATTCTCTGCAGAGCACTGCTTTTCTTCCTCCCTCTCTCCTACTTTCCCTTTCCTTCTTTCTGCAGAAAAGGGTACACAGGCTTAGCCAGGTGCAAAGCCATCCAGGCTAAAGTGCCCAGCATCACACATACACAGAACAGAATTTCTATTGTAGAAAGAAGCTACAGATTCTCAAATGACAATTCTTTTATGGAATAAACCCAGACTGTTTATGGAGCTGTAACAAACTTAGGCTTCTACTTAAGTGTTATGGAAAGAAAACAAACAAAAAACTACTCAAACCTTAGCAGTAAGGTCAGTCAGCTACATTAAGAAACATTAAGAAGCATGGGACTGATGAAAAAAGAAAAACAGATTAAATTCTGGTCTCACTGTCAAGATCAGATGTCAAGCTACTTCACCATAATTACCTGCTTAAAAATTTAATGATGCTTCTGCATGAATTTCAAAACTAAAGACATTGTTATCAGCCACTGAGGACATTTTTAAATGAAAGAACACTTTATACTCTGTCTCTGTTTCACCAAAACAGCTAAGTGTGAGAGCGTGTATAGGATTAAACTATCCAATCTTTTAATCAACGACATTATTAGACACAACAAAAGGGCTAAGAGGATCCTCGTGTAATTCAACTCCATGTCTGAACTGCCTGAGTTACATTATTTCTGAGGCTAAATATCACGGTGATATTCAGCCAACAGGAAAGAAAATCAAAATAATTTTGAGGGGCAGGGGATAACCCAAAGGTTATTTACCATAATTGCTAAAATAATATTATTCTCATGATCAAAGATGTGTTGATTAATCAGTAAAAACTCAAAAGAATATTTCCCCCATGGTACTCTACTTAATTATCAGTTAGATCTAGTTGATGCCAAAGCCAAGAGGAAATACTTAACTAACAAGCACTTTAATAGTTACCACTGATGACTCAGGATAAATAAATGCTTATTAATAAAAAGACTGGAGAAAAAAAGTTGCACACTAAAAGCAAACACCTATACCTACATTTTTATTTTAAAATCAGACACTTGTATCCTTTACAAAGAACAAATATTTATGTTCTAACCCGAGGACATAGGTTATAAAGGTTAAAATAATGTAAAAAATTTCATTAAATGATCTAAAGATAATTAGCAGTGAACTTGGTCAGCCTGAGTGTCTTGCAATGGAAAGAGCTGTTAGATTAAAAAGGAAATTAAAATACTACTTTGTAGGGAATCAAATGCATGACATTCATTCTTTTGCTCCACTCATTTTAATTGTTTGTGTTTAATGACATGAAAAGAAAATCTTTCCACAAAGCTCTCTAAGCAGCAGATCTTAGTATGTGGCCAACCATACTTCAAAGTAAAAAGAAAAGAAGTGTCCATACCCGAACAAAAGTAACAGCCAGGAGAAACCTAGTTTGGTTAATTGCTTAAATTAGATTTCTCAGTGCCACCTTATAACTCAGTACATTCTAAGAAAACAAAACTTTTAGAGTTTGTATCTCTAAAGAACTGAGCAAGGAATTCAACAGGAAAACGGTAATATTTTTATGCCCAACAAACTGATCGAAAGAGTAATATTTCCAATTCTCAAACACAACTGTATTTAACAAGAAACCTTCAGGACGGACTGAAAGCCCCTCGGAACACTGTCACTTCCTGACTCCCTCCCTGTGCTGGCCTCTGCCCACAGGGCCGACCTTCTGGTTCTGGCCCTGGCCCTGGCCCTGGCTGTGGTGACTGGTGGGAACAGAAAGCTCTGGGGCTGTGTTTACCGGCGCCAAGATGTGGTTCCGTGCCAGAACGCCAAGGCTCCCTCATTACTAAACACCGATTACTGCCATGCTTTGCCGTGTGCGTGGCAGAACCCAGCAAGCCCAGCCCCTCCTGCTCTCCGGTGGCCATGACCCTGGCAGGCCGGCCTCGCCAGCACAGGCAGAGGGACCTGAGGTGGGGCGCTCAGGTCCGACACTGGCCTTTCTGGTGTGCCTCATCCTAAAGCAATGGACTTTGTTCCAACACGCAATCACACCACTCACGCTGCACCTGCTCCGCTGGAGCTAGAGAGTGGAGAAGGCTTTGGCCATGGCTGCAGATGGACTACAAAGTGCCTAAAACCCAGCAGCATTCACACTGATACAATGCCATTGGCCTTGCTATGGATCTTTCTTACCTCAACATCCTTTTTCAGTTTTTCCAGGAACACCTTTTTGTTATTGTCATCAATATAAATCTTTTGGCCCTCATTAATGAAATCATTATCCTTTAAAGTTGGCAGTTCTTTGGCCTAAGACAAAAGAGAAAAAAGAATGAGAAAGAAGCTTCAAGAAAATCTAAAAAACCAGTACACCCTCCAATCCTGGAAATTTAAATTTGCCCTGTTCACCGCAGGGGTCTCGTCCAAGGCAAAGAAACATGAGGTGGCTTGATTACCACCAGGGGGCACCAGCGAGCCGCAACGGCAGGAAGCCTTCCCATTAGGATGGGGTGGGGGCTTAGATAGGACCCTTATTATACGATATTTTGTAACACATCATGTTTTTTGTAAGAACGACCTGACCACTTTCTTTGATTCACTCTCTTACAAGAAGTCTTTGAATCACAGAATCCGAATTCTTGGAATTGTTAGGAATCCTCAATTGTGACTGGTACAACCCAACAGCATCTCTACCCTAACTCTTGAGCAGCCTCTGCCCAACTCCACTGACAACACGTTTTCTTGTCTCACAAAAGCCCCAAACCCAGTCATATCTACCTCTGAGTCAAGACAATAAGGGCGTGACCTGGTGAGTCAACTGCGCTTGCGTTGACCAATGCACAGTAATGGACGGCTGCCAAGGCGGGCATCCCGGCAGAGAAAGCCCACGCTTGTCTGCAGTAAGAGTCACACAGGCAGCTAATTTTAAAACTGTGGATTACTCATTTCACATGGTGCAATCCGTACCGCAAGAGAGCTCAAAACACCAGTCAATCTCCCCCATCCCAAGCTATGTAAAAGGAATTCAATGTAAGACACTGCCTTTCTCTGTATAATAACGAATCCTAACTGGCCCTTTTTCTATTAAGTATGAACCAAATGGAAAACAAAACAAAACAAAACACTCATCTGAGGAAACAACATAGTCTCCTTCCTAGCTCCTGTACTGCTTCCCAGAAAGGAAACACTCTAGGTGTATCTCCTGATCCCTCTTCAAATGCCTCCACACCCATGTTCTCCTCCCACTTTACAAAGTCACATCTGCCCAGACACACGTAAGTGCATGTGCTATGCATTTCTAATCCAGTAGCTATGGCTATTAATTTTAACCTTGAGAAGAGAAACTTTCAAGCGCTTTGTAACTCTGAACTAGTTAGAACTACTGGTGAAACAACCTTCACAAAGTAAGTGTTGTAACACTCAGAAATCCAAAGACTGGACTCAGCTGGTGGCACTTTCTGCATTACCAACACGCACAGGGACGCCAATCCACACAGATCACAGTTTCTACTGTAAAGGACTTGGTAGTTTTGTATGGGAGACTGACATGGTAGTACACAGAAAATAGGGCAGCATGAGTATGTGGGTAGAAAGTTAAGTAAGATTCTCAGGGGAGACTGATCTTTTCAGACACTTTGAACTAAGTCATGAAATCCAGGAAATAACGCAATGCCAGTTTTCAGAGAAATTTATAATAGGCCTAAATTAGACAAACTCCCTAAATCGGTCATTAATAATTTTTAAAAGATTCAATAAATATAAACAACTCCTATGCATCTTCCTTCAGAAGAGTGTTAGTATTAGTGTCAATCACGTCGGTTTCTCTTCTATTAGAACTGCAAACAAGACAGAGTCTAAGCAGATGAAATGCAAGTTCCTGATCTTTAACAAAACTCATGCAGATAAGCAATGCCTCGAACAGAAAATAGGAGCAACCCAGAAGAAAGGGCTGAGAGGTGAGAGGAGGAATGTGCTTTTTTCAGGCAGACTCCTTGGCTGTTTTTGTGTGTTTTGAGGAACGGGGTAGGTGGGGGTGGGGTGTTAAGCATTAAAATATCTGCCTCAATTCCACAGCTCATTTTATATGCCTAAGACAAGACAGGAGAGGGCTGTGTGTGTGTGTGTGTGTGTGTGTGTGTGTGGCGGGGGGAATATGTGAAACCTGAAGGTGGAGAGACAAACTACAGCCAAGGCGGTCACACATTACAGATGTTTGTAACACAAATCACATTAACAAAGATGAATGCCATTTCAAGTTCACCCTAGCAGAATTACGTCATGTGACAGGGAAAGTCTAATCCTACCTCATAAAACTCTGGACACCCTGTACTATATTACTAAGCTTACTTGTGAATTTCACAGGCACTAGGGACATATTTAGATTGGATCAAGTTCAAAAAACGGCAACCAGATTGGTTAAGAGACTTAAGGGCTTACTGAAAGGATCAAGAGGCAAAGACGGGTCCTTAGCAGGGCAGCTGCAAAACAGAAATTCACCCTGGTCCACAAAACCCACCTCCCACACATCTCCCTGAGGCAGTGCTTAGGAGCATTAGGGTTTGGAGTCAGGAACCCCAGGGTCCCACCCTACTTCCATCCCTTACTCTCCAGGGACCCAGGGTCAGTTCCTGGACCTTTTCAGGATGTTTCCTAATGTGAAAAAATGGGGGAATACCACTACCACTTCTGACAGGCGTGGGTCCTATGCTGAGCCTTCCCATGAATCGCTTTATATTTCTGCATTGTCTCCTTCACTATTCCCAACTGCACCCTTCCTTTTGGTCCACATGGTGTGGACCAGAAATGAAGCTTGACAACTGATGAGGTCAGGTGGAAACCCGGCGTCCTTTTCTTTTTGGTACTGGGATGACAGCCTGACTATTGGTTTGCCAAGGGAGAGCTGTGCTGAGCAGTACCTGTTAGTATCACCACCATTAACATCAACTCAGCCATCGCAGGCAGCGTCACCAATGTGCACATGAGCACTCAACACATTCTAGGAATTTAAAAGTGGTGCACACATTGAGAGACTGCATAAACATAAAAAAAAACCAACTTTGTTCTTTGTAAAACTAGCTGTTCAAGATTAAGTACCTGACAATGCATGAATCACACTCAAGAAAACCTTATTGCCTTTTGATAAACAACTGCAATGTATCTCGGTGATGATAAGTGACATTTACATTAGAAACACATCTTTTTTCTTAAAGTGGGAAAGACCATTAAGCCCCAAGTTAACAAACTCACTGAAGTGAGGGTGTAAAGTCCCAGAGGCAATGTCCACAGAGCTAGCTTCGTGAAGCACTGGCTTCTGCCTTTCTCTTAAGCTCTATATGGAGCATTTGCTGTCAGCAGTTTCCTAAGCGGGAGTCACTGGTTTTGGCTCTCATGAGAAGCCACGAGGCCTGCTGTGGAGAGCACAGAGCCGCAGCTTCTTGGCGAGAAGGTAAAAACAGCCATTTTCTCTGCTCTGAAGTCTGTTCTCCTGCCAGTTCTTGTCTTTTTCATTTTTATCGGTACCGGGGATTGAACTCACGACCGCCTGTTTGCCAGGCAGGTGCTTATGCTGCTGAGCTAAATCCCCAGCCCCATCTCCTGCCAGTTCTATAGAGATTAGGAGCCTCCAAGTGTACAGGAGTAATCTGTATCACACACTGCCCACTCTGGAGGGGCTTGCTCCTTCTCACGTCCTTGCCAAGGTGCCCAGCTTGGGTCAGGACCCTGCCAAGGCTTCCAGAACCATTCTGGCCACCTGGCTGAGGCTCGCCCTGGGCAAACAGCCAGATCTAGGCCCAGGTCATGTTCTCTCGTGTGCACTGCGCTGGGCTCAAGAGGGACGTGTGGAGCCATGTACCAGGTGCGCAGCGGGCTCTGCTGAAGGCAGAAGGAGAGTGACACTGTCCCTACACCTCAGTCACCTCGCCTCCATAAGCAGGGCAGCAGCCCTTGTTGGCGCACACTGGGGGGGCCTGAGCCCAGGTGGACTTTCACTGTGGTCCATTTCTACCAAGGAAATGAACAAAGCGGCAGGTTCGTGCACCAGCTGGACTCAGGTCGCCTGGCTGTATCTCGGTTCCTCCAGCTTTCAGCTGTATGAAGACTGTGTAGGTTACTTCACCTCACTGTGACTTGGCTTCCCATTTTTAAGTGGGGATTAGCAAACAGGGCTCTCATGAGGATGCCACGGACACACATGTGGATGGCTTAGAGCCCCGTGGGGCATCACTGATAGACAGCTGCATGTTCGGCATCTTCCCAAGTACAGGCTGAATACTGAGGGCAAGGCCCAGGTGAATCCAGGGCAAGATCTTCTGTGTCCCATATTTAACGGTCTCACACTAGCATGGTCTGGACCAGCGGTTTGATCGCACAGACTCTTTCCTTTCTCTTTGCAAGTGGGAAAGTAACCACACCTATTAGTACAATAGGGATAGTGTACGTGGATTAAATGTAACAAACACACAGTACTTGGCAATAAGAACTCTAAGTTTGTTTCCTTCCTGATTGTTTAAAGAAATCAGTTCTTGAAACTTAGGCTATGGATGATTCACACTGTGTTTAAAATTTCCTTTGTTTTCAGGTTTATCTATCATTCACAAATGCCCCACATGAATTCTCTACATACCAGCCTTTTACTCTGAAGATCCTTTAGTTAGGGCACACTACCTAGCGGATGTGAATGCAAGGTCAGTATTCCCCTTCACTAGGTCACAGGGGACACAAAAAGTGCCCTGGACATGCTGCGGCAGTGGTGACCCTGGCCAGAGGTTCTTCCTTCCCCACCACCTCGGTGGTTCTGATCCAGACCCTGCTTGCTGTACTCCCACTGTGAGTTCTGGCAAGAAAAACCCGTCCTGCAGAAGCTATGCCCAGTGGAAAAACCTCATGGAAAATTTCTCCTTCTTCTTTTTTTTTTTTAAACAAAACTGAAAGCCAAATGAGAATAAAATGTGGCTACATGATAATAAAAACTGGGTAACTTTTTAAGAGTAATAAAGTATCTAAAATTTATGTTATTTATTAAACACATAAAATAACATTTAACGATTTTGTATACATGGCCAAAGACAGAAATTTGCTGACTTTTATCTTACAGTTTTCCATGGGTTAGCTTTTCCTCAGTGAGCACATTACAACAGTGGATAAGTCAGTGAATGCTATCTTGCTGATCTAAAGCAAAAATTCAGGAATTGAAAGCTTAGTAGCCAGAAAATACTGTAGTAGGCAGTAGTGAACTCAATGGGAACGCTGGCTTTGCTGCGAGTTGTGAGAGAAAGGTTTCATTAGAAATACTTTTACCTCCTTGTGTA